GATGGATCTAATCAGGAGTCAACCAGCAGGGCTGCATCTGCTCCTGTTGCTACCTCCCTACAAAAGAATGATAGGGACTATGTCGAGTTTGGCATAAGAATTAACCCTTTCAGGGTTTTCGACGTACTAGTATGGCTTACGCACCAGGGTTATTGACGTACTAGAACGCCTAAATTCTAGCGCCTTCAAATCTAGCGAGAGAAAGCTGGTAGGCCTACATATGAAAGACTGGATCTACGTGGTCAGTGTGCACAGTATAAAAAAAATCCTGCAGCACACAATGCGTAATGAGAAAAAAAAACTTTGACCGTGTTTTTGGATTAAAACAGCGACTTTGCAGTTTATTTTCATATGGTATTTATGGTTGTATTCTAGTTTTCCTGGTCTCATTTTGTAGAATGGAAGACATATTACAGAAATTGAGATGATTTTGATTGGTTTCACAATTAAAAGGACCTTGAATTGAGCTCAAAGTAGCAGAAATGTTTGATTTTTACCAAAGTTCAAAAGTAAGCAAATCATGCCAAGTGTCCAATATACGTCAACTGGTGAGTAATATTCTTTCACAAGTGCGATGATATTATTTATACCATTTCTACACTAATGCAGTAGTCTGCCTAACAGGAAATCTTCTATTTTTTGTGAGAATAAAAATTCAAAGTGGAAAGCAAAAGAAATATAAAAGGGGCCTGGGGACATGACTAACGAACAGAGAACTTGTTATTTTAGTGCCAGGAATGTCTATCTTGTTTATTCTGGACCCTATTTGGAAATTGGCATCGACTGAAATTTGTGTGAAATTGGCAAAATTGCCAATTTCTAACCACTTTATTGGATAGTTGAAATTGGTAAATGGGTGGTTTCTTGTACTCATTCGATAGAAAAAATGGAGTTCTAGCGAAATAAATATGATTTTTGTCGACTAGTACACAGAAATTGTCTGAAAATAGGGCTCAAAGTAGGTGAAATCACCAATATGTAAACATCGTCGAGACTGCTAACTTCGCGAGAGCATAATTCCGTAAGTTTTCCATCAAATTTCATACTTTTGGTGTCATTATGATCAGGAAAAGATTCTCTCTCATTCCATAATTAAAAATAATTATTTTTTTTCCGAAAAATTTTCAACCCTGAGAACGAGTTTAGGAGAGGGCCTCTTGACCCTCAAAGGGTTAACAGCTGGATGTCTACATTGCAAACTGAATTGTTTGCCATCCTAATGGCACTAAAGTTACCTTATGATACTGAACTTAACTCTATGATTATTACTGATTCTATGTTATCCCTGAAGATTCTTGACCCACATAATGACTAACAACATGCTCACTTAAGAAGCCAGATACAGACTCAAAAATCCAGGAAAAACGAATTAATGGATGATTTTTATAACATGAACGCAGATACGTACATTTATGAAGCAACTTGAAATGTGAACAGATTGACTGATGTTGTAGTGGCCAGGCTTAGACTTGGTTACAAGTATTTCTGGCAGTTTGGCAGACACATGGATGATAATCAAACTAAATGCAAAATATGTGGTCAACCCTATGGTCACTATCTTGAACACTATATGTTTAATTGTCCACTTATTGAGCAATGTAGATAGAAAGTATAATAAACTATGTAATGTGTCAAGATACATTATTAATGAAAATAAAATACTAGATATATTAAGTAAATTTCCTAAATTTGGTTGCAACAGATAAGTCAATTGTAGATACATGTATAAATCCAAATTTACTCCAGGTAACCCTTTTTGAGGCCTAGTTCCTAGGCCTCTTGTGTGTCCATATGCTACTGCGCTACTATCCACAGGGTGGATATGGGATTATGGGATGCACGATAAACTAGCCACTTTGGTGGCATAATTAATGAGATTAATTCATAAAAATAACTACTGAAATTAGTTATACATGCTGAGACATCTATATTTTTTCACATATAAAAAATACTGGACTGATTACTTTGACTCCAGGCTGGGAGACTGATTACCTCAAACTCTTCTGATTTTCAACTGTTCTATATATTCTTGGGTATCTTTATTGTTTCCACAATAAAGATACCCAAGTGTTACACATGTGTCTAATTTATCAAGTCACAATACCATGGCTGGAATAATTCACAACTAACCCATTTTAGAGGAAACTGTACATCATGTTTCGGTCTGATCTAAACCATCATCAGACTTGACAATGGTCCAGAATGGACTAAAATGTTGCCTACAGTTTCATATCCAAATTGGTTTTTAGTTTTGAGTGCATTATTTCATATATAATGCAAAAAATGTGGAAAGAATTAAATATAAAATTAAAACAATACATTAGTGTGGAAAGACATTTTTGTACAGTTGAGGACTGTACAGATTAAGACTGAAGAAGCCACTCACGGCAAAACATTTTCCTTAATAAATATCATTAACAGTGCAAAGGTGTCTTTTTTACAGCTTGTCAGCTATCACCATTTACAAGCAATACAATATAGTTCATGACTCCCAGCTTACTGGCAGAGAATGGAAGGGCTGAGAAATTGTCCCGTAGATCAGGAGCAGATGTTGATCCTGAGATAACAGCAGTAGAGAAGACCGGAACAGCTGCAGCTGCTGCAGCAGCTGCCTTCTGCTGTAACCCAGCTAAGAAGGTTAAGTAGGAACTGAGGTGGCCTGGGATGCTGTGTCGGTGACGGCGGATGCTCTCTGAGGAATAATTTCAATTGTTGTGAAAAATAGCAGTTAATAACTACTAAACAACAGAACTTCAACTCATAAACACATACAGGTTAAACATCCATGTGTACAAATGGGGTAACTTACAATGAATCAAAGTTTTACAAGCACTGGGAATATAACTTAATTGTATGCTAGGGCTTTCCCTGTATTTGCTTACAGAAGAAAATAAATGCAATCTCTGCAAATCTTCCAAAACCATGTATAATGGTAGGCTCAAGTTATGAGAGACTGGTGTTCCAGGTGTTGCAGCTTACAAACAAACCATAACGATTTGTTTGTAAGTATAGTGGATGATTGTGTCACATGTACTTGTAGCTGTGGATCAGCAATCATAACAACTTACTTGATTCCTAAGTGCACAGTTTATAATTGTGACTAACTTTTATATATATATTTGTGAAGCTGGAATGGATGTACAGTTCTCTACAAGGTTTTTTAATAAACAAATATTTTAATTGGAGTATGTTGACATCTCTATGGTAGGAATCTAAGTATAGTTTAGAAAGTTGAAGCTATATGTTATAGTAATTCTCTTAGAGCAACAATTTCATTCATGGAAAGAAGTACACAAACAGAATTTGTTCAATCAATCAATCAATTTTATTTCTTTGCAAGTAGTACATTGAGATTATGTATTTACAATAATGAGTTGCAGTGCAAAGAGAGCCTCTACCGTGCCTAGGCATTACGGGCAGACTTAATTTAATGGCTTACTGATGTACTTAATACTAAAGAATTTATCATAGTTTAAGTTGTACAATAGTTTCAATAGTAAATATTCAAATTATATTATGGAAATATAACATTGTGATTTGCTGAAAGTAGTTTATGGTATGAGAATGCTACACTTGGGTGTGGGGCAGTACTGTTTTGGGTAGGTATTTGTACTACTATGTATTATTAGTCAGTGTATGAATTCGGGCGTCTATTCTTGAAGTTTTAAGATTTAGGTAATTAGGAAATTTTTTGGTAAAGTTAAAAAGTGAGTATTGAGTATTTAGTCTAGGGTGAGTAAGTGGCTTTTGAGAAGAGTCTTGAATTGATTTTCAGACTGGGTTACTTTAGTATTTTCTGGTAATGAATTCCAAATTTTGGGGCCCTTTATGTGCATAGAGTTTTTACACAGTGTGATATGGACACGGGATACATCAAAAAGAGATCTGTGTCTTGTGTTATGGTCATGTGTCCTGTTAAGGTTGGTGAGAAGAAGTTTGAGTGGAGGGTTTATGTTTGAGTATAGTGTTCTATGTATGTAGTAGGCACATAAATAAGTATGGATGTTCTTTATGGTGAGCAGATTTAGATTTTTGAATATTGGTGGAGTATGCTGTCGGGAGTGGGAATTTGTTATCATTTTGACTGCAGCCTTTTGCTGGGTTATTAGTGGTCTTAGGTGATTCAATGTTGTTGATCCCTATGCACAAATTTCATATGTGATAAGGGTAGATGAATGAATGATGCAGTGCAAGGAGAGCTGATTGTGGAACATAGTACTGTATCTTTGATAGTATAATGTATACAAATATGGAATGTAGTAGGTCCTCATTAAGTGCAGAATTTAACATGGTCTCAAAAGTAATTAAATATTTAATAAATGTGCAACAACTCACTAAAACACATGGTAGAACAAATAAGGAATCAAATTTTAAAACTGCCCACCACTGAGTGATTGGCTATTCTGCACCTCACCTACCATCCCCTCACCAACATTCATGCCCAAACCAGACCATTCCTTATGCCACCTACAGTATGGTACTCAGCATTATTCCAGGACCATCTGGCTACATAATGACCTGTGTTTACTAATTACTGTGAATACAAGCAACACTCTTTCTCATCTCCAGGTGTTAACTTTGTCCTACAAGAGGAACACTCACTGGGCAACATAAACAACAGTAATACTAGAAATCACTGATGCCAACCAAAGTAGTCTGGAAATCAGGGTCAGGAGCTGAAACTTAACCTCTACAAACATAACTCGGTAAATACAGACACTAAGAGCATAGTAGGTCTTTATTAGTAAATCTGTCTCAAGTGTTGCATGGTTCTAAGTTTTTCTTGTATTAGAGATCCTCTCAATGCAGTGCCTCCCAGAGGAAAATTAATTATGCTGGGAGTGACAAGGGGATCATTAAACTGTGTATTAATTTTTAACTCAAAAATTTATAGACTATCCAGTACCCCACTACTAACTTTGCCTTTATAGAAGATATTAGAATTTTTATCTTCATATCAACACTACCTCATAGTCATTTAAATTTTCTACATGTTTACTGTATTGTTTAGTCTAGAACTAAACAATATTGTTTAATGTTAACAGTTTATGTCAGCAATATGTGCAATATCAGGTGCTAAATTTGATACCTAGTCTTAATATTGTACAGGTCCGCCATCACAAATCCGGCAATCAGTTACCCGGTTCCATCAGTTATTTCGCACTATGAAAAAAATCGGGGACACTGGGGTACCGCGTGGTAACACCAGTTAGTTTCAGCTCCATCTTGGGTCAACATCATGGCAAACCCCTGTGATTCACTGACACCTCGGCGTATTAACACTCTACTATTCCCGGAAAGTGATACAGAACGCGAGTTTAGTGGTTTTGACTCTGGTATAGCCTCTAAAGATCAAGGAATTAGTGAAACTTTTGTTGATAACCCAGATGACCCTCAGGCCATGACCTCTGGGGTGGCCAGTGTGGATAGTGTGGACAGTGTGGCCATATCAGACCATCAGCCCAGCACTTCTGAGGTGGCCAGTGTGGCTAATGTGGCCAGTTTGGCCACAACAGACCCGCAGCCCATGACCTCTGAGGTGGCCAGTGTGGATAGTGTGGCCATACCAGACCCTCAGCCCAGCACTTCTGAGGTGGCCAATGTGGCCACAACAGACCCTCAGCCCAATATCACTGGGGTTGCTAGGGTTACTTCCCAAAGGCAATTCCGCAAGAGGAAATTATCATTTTCCATGCATTATGGTGATAGTGAAAGTGATATAAGTGACGATGATGAAATCGATTTTATGCCGATAGACGATTCGTCGAGTGAAAGTGATTATCATTTTTCCTCAGTGAAACGTACTTTTAGGCGTCGTAACCTACGTTCAGGCAGTGTGCCATATGTAGTCGGTGGCAAGGGTCGTGGCAGGTCACGATCCAAAACCCCAGCCACTGATAATGATAATGAAGGTGAATATGCTGGGATGGAGGAAGGGGGGGGGGGTGGCATGGTGCCTGGACCTCGTGGCGCAGTGGGTGGGCAGACAAAGGACCGCCCGGCACCCTCTCAACCACGTGCTGCCTCCACTCCTGTCCCCCCTCCTGATCCCTCACGCCCCATGCCACAGGTCTACCCTGCACCATGTGACTGCGAATGGAACTGGACAGAAAGTGCACCATTTGTACCACATCCTTTCAATTTTGATGCCAGTGGAAGTGGCATCATGCCACACTGTCCCATCACAAATGAGTCTACAGAGTTAGACTATTTTCAATTATACTTTGATGAGCCGATAATGAACCTAACTGTTACCCAGACCAACATGTACTACCAGTATACAATGGACCACACAGATGTTTCAGAGTCTTCACGGTTGCACAGGAGGAAAGATAGAACTGTGGCTGAAATGTATTTATTCCTTGGCACTGTCATGCTTATGCCACACACCTATAAGAACAATATAGCACACTACTGGTCCACAGACCACTTCATCAGCCCTCCAGTTTTCCGTGACCTCTTTCCCTGCAACAGATTCACACTGTTGCTACGAATGTTGCACTTCTCAGACAGGAATACGCCAAACAGAAATGACCTCTTATACAAAATCAGGGAATTGTTTATGTATCTGAAGCAAAAATTCAGTGCCTACTTTTATCCATTCAAGAACATTGTTGTCAACGAGTCCTTAGTTCTGTTCAAGGGACGACTGTCATTCAAACAATATATACCAAGCAAACGTAATCGCTTTGGTATAAAACTCTTTGTTATGTGTGACTGTGAGACTGGTCTTGTGTTGGATGTTATTATCTACACAGGGAAAAATACACTCAGCGATACCAGGCACATGTTGGGCATTTCTGGGGATGTTGTTTGCAAGATGATGGGGCCATACCTTGGCAAAGGTCATACATTGTACACAGACAACTGGTATATAAGCCCTATGCTCACAGATTTCTTACGTGTGAACAATACTGATATATGTGGAACAGTGAGAAGTAGAAAACACATGCCAAGGTTCACTGGAGGAAGTCTAGTAGAATTGTTTCATGCCAATGACATCATGGCACTGACGTGGCATGACAAACGGGATGTGACGTTGCTGTCAACCATCGACAGAAACAAGATGGTACAGACAGATTGAGCAGGTTCAACAATGAACCTATTGTAAAACTAGCTGCTATCATCGACTATACAAACAATATGCAATTAGTCGACAAGTGTGACATGATGATAGGGTTTGTTGACTGTGTGTGTAGGAGTCGCAAGTGGTATATAAAAGTTTTTTTCCACCTTTTAGACATTGCAATGCTCAATGCCTTCAACATGTATGAAATAAAGACTGGGAAGCGACAATGATATGCAGAATTCACCCTCAATATCATCAAGCAGATAGCAAAAAAGTATGGTACCACACCTACACCTGTCACTCCACAGCGACCTGTCACTCCACAACAGTGACCTGTCGCTCCACAAGAAGAGGGGGAAGTGCCCGACCGAATAATCCCTAACTGTCACTGCCTGGTACCATTACCATCTACTCCAAAAAAGAAGAACTCTCAGAAAAAGTGTGTTGTGTGTGCTTACACTAAACAGCGACCCCCGAGTGCAAAAAGACACACGATACATGTGTCAGCAATGTGGGGTGGCACTCTGTATGAATCCATGCTTCTTGGAGTACCATACAGTGGTGGACTTCTAGAAATATAAATGGGACTTGTAAATACCTTGTATATACACCTACCATCCGAC